CCCAGATGGGAGCAGAGCTTGCAGAACTGGGGAGCCACTGGTTCTTCTGCCATTTATTAGCCTCAGCTGATAGGCAAAAGAGTGTTTGTTTGTGTTTTTGAGGGAGGAGGGAGTTTTGTGAGAGGTGTGTGTTGGAGGTGGGGTGAGAATTAGTTTGACTGGGGTGGGGGCTGGGATTGTGTCCATCCCCCTGTCTTGTTTGATGGGGTTCCTTTGCATTCCTGAGGAGAGGGGGTTGAGGCCAGAAGCTGAAAGACCTGTATGACCCTCTGAGCTTTAGGTCCCAGCTGACTAAGCATGAGCAAGGGAGAGAGAGAAAGCTATTGATGCAGCCACTCTGAGGCCGCTCAGAAATTACTCAGGATGACTTTGGGGTGGGGCGGGGGGTCCCATAGGCATACATTGGGGGGGGTGGTTAGAACCTTTTGAACATGAGCCTGAAGGGAAAAGTGACCTCAGGTGTACCCACTGGCGAGCTGAAGAGCCCTGGGGAGCTGTGGTGTACCTCCTCTTGAGGTCTATCTTGTTCATCACCATTTCCTCTGAGAGCACAGTGCCTGGCGCATAGTAGGTGCTCAGTAGCAATATGTGGAATCAATGTTGGTGATGATGTCCCCAGCTGTAACCCCCATGAGCTTCTGCTGTGCCCTGGCCCTAGCCCCACACCCTGGAAGCTGCAGTTTAGACCTGTTGGCCTGCACAGGGCTCACCCTCTGCCTTTGGCACTCATTTTCCAGCCTGGGCTCAAGGGCAGAGCCAGGCCTTGCTTGGGGAAGTTTTGACAGAGAAAAACCAAAAGTAAGTGCCTCCCCTGGCTGGGGATCAAAGCCATAGACACGGTGGGTCTCTCTCCACTCTTCATCCTTGACTTTTCTGTGTGAAACCTCAGCGGCTGGTGGCAGAGTGGATGGGGCCCCCCTATTTCCATCCAGCCTCTGTCTGCACCAGGGACTCAGGCCCAGAGAAGGAACAGGATTTGCCCAGAATTACACAGTAAGTTAGTGTCAGGGCTGTGACCAGAACTTGGGTCTTAGTAGCCTCGTCCCACATCCAGCATTCTTTCTGTGTCACTCACTGCAGCCCACATGGAGCTGTCACCACACGTCAAGCCTCCCCGATGGGTGCCACTGGGGCCTTCCCAGCCTTCACCTCCACCTCTGTCTTCATTTCTCTTTCTCTCCATCTCTCTGTCTCACTCCCTCTGTCCCTCACTTTTCCTTCCTCCTCCCTTTATCTTTCCTTTTCCCCAGTTGACAAAAGAAACCCAGGTGATCAGAAGGCTGGCCCAGTGAAGACAGATTGCCCCTCCCTCTCTAGCCACACCCGCCTTTCTTCTTTTTCCTTAGTCTCGAACTTACCTTGACATAAAACTGAAGTCTGCTTGAACTTATTTGTGATCTTTATTCAACTTTATTTTATGTCCCCTATTCTAAATTTCACAGCGCTGGTGGTGCAGTGGTTAAGAGCTACGGCTGCTAACCAAAAGGTCGGCAGTTTGAATCCACCAGCCGCTCCTTTGAAACCCTATGGGGCAGTTCTTCTCTGTCCTGTAGGGTTGCTATGAGTTGGAATTGACTCGACAGCAACAGGTTTGGTTTATTCTGAATAAATGTTTTCATTTCTCACTCATTAAAAATAAAAGAAAAAGCCAAATAACTCCTCACACCAAAGGGGGAGTCATTGTTTAGAAAGCGTTGAGTATCTATTTATTTTGATGGAAAATTCGGCAATGAATACTGGTGATGGCTGCACACACACACACACACACACACACACAAATAAATAGAAAATAACTCCCCAGACCAGAGCGTGTCCCATAAATACCAAATTACAATCTTTTTTCATCAAAATTATCTGCAGGTCTTTTTGCTTTCACCTCTGAGTGATGTTTTCTCAGGATGAGGGACCCCCAGGGGAGGACAGCTCTCAGCCCCAAGAGGAGGCTGCAAAAGGTGGCTTATCTCTGCTGCCCAACCCCACCCCTCCCTCCGGAGTAGAATTTCACTCTGTGCTCAGCAGGACCCCAGAGCCCCCTCTGCACCTACGCCTATTGTGAGTCTCCCTAGAAACCACATTCTTTCATGGGGTCCTCTCCTCCACCCCCGGCAACCCACCTGGGACCACCCAGGGGATGTTGTTGTTGTTGTTAACTGGTCCCCAACTCATGGTGACCCCATGCACAATGGACCCAGTGACCCATACAGCTTTCACTGGCTGATTTTTGGAAGTAGATCACCAGGCCTTTCTTCCTAGTCCCTCTTAGTCTGGATGCTCCACTGAAATTTGTTCGGCATCATAGCAACACAGAAACCTCCAATGACAGACAGGCGGTGGCTGCGCATGAGGTGCACTGGCCAGGAATCAAACTCGGGTCTCCTGCATGGAAGGTGAGAATTCTACCACTGAGCCGCCACTGCCCCCCAGGGAATAACCTGGGTGTAAAGGCTGGTCCGTGGCCGAGTTCCCATGCCCTCCAGGCTAAGAGCTCCTGGACGGTCCTACTAGGATCACCTTTGCCATACCTTGGCCAGGTGCCAGGAATTGTGTGAGGCACTTTCAAACCCCTCACCTCCTTTTATCCTCACAATTGATTTCTATTGCACAGTGCTGCTCTGAGATTCACTTACCCCCTGAAGGTGAATAATATTATTTTCATTTTATAGGGGGAATCTGAGGCTCAGAAAACTTAAGTGAGCTGCCCTGTGCCATTATTTTTCTGTAGAAGATCCTAGATTTGAAATCAAGTCTGTTAAAGTCAAGGCCAGTCCTAGTCCCTTGACACCACACTGCAGAAACCATGACTAATAATACTTCACATTTATATACGTAGTGCTTTTCCGTTTGCAAAATTTGTTCCCTAAGTTTCCTGTGACAGCACTTTTCACCCTGTTCAGTAATTACCCTGTCTCCACCACTAATGACAGATACAAAAACATACAATACGTGCTGTTGTGGTGGCACACACAAGTTGTGCTCATCTACTAACTGAAGGGTTGGCTGTTCGAACATACCCAGTGGTACTGTGGAAGAAAGTCCTGGTAATCTGCTTCCTTAAAGATTACAGCCAAGAAAACCCTACGGAGCAGTTCTGCTCTGTAACACATGGGGTCGCCATGAGTCGGAATCAACTGGATGGTAATAGGTTTGTTTTTTTGTGTGTGTGCTGTTCTGGAGGAATGGGGTAGGGAGAAGGGAGCATCTGATTGTCTGGTGAAGTTGGGGAAGGCTTCCAGGAAGAGGTGAACATGACATTTGAGTTGGGCCTTGAAGGCGAAGGCACTCCTGGCAAAGGCACGGTAGTGTCTTGGTTGGCATGGCTGGTCCTGGAGCAAACAGGGCAGAAGAAGCAGGTTCCGGCCAGATTGGGTTGGGCCTTGAAAACCACCTGGAGAGTTTAGGCTCCATCCACGTGGGAGGCGCCCCAGTGAGAAGGGCAGTCCAGGGCCTTGCTTCTGAACAAGCCCTAGAGCCGCCGACTAACATGGCGACCGTGAGCTTTGAGCACTTGAAATGGGGCTAGTGTGACTGAGGAATTTTAGATTGCATTTAATTTTAATTAATTAAACCTAAACCCTGGTACTCCATTCGGTTATTAGAAAACTGTCTGAGTATGTCTGGAACAATGAATCTATTTGCAACTGTGAATTATGAAATCTAAACTCAGAACAAGTACTTCTGATGAAAATTTAGGTCCCAATTGAGATGTACTGTAAGTGTAAAATATACATTGGATTTTAAAGGTGAAGGAAGAATGTATAGCAATTCATCGAGAGTTGATTACATGTTGAAATGGTACTATTTTGGCTATATTGGGTTAAATTAAAAAAAACCACTAAAATTAATTCTACCTGTTTCCCCCTCTTTTTTTAAATGTGGCTACTAACCAAAAACCCCAGCTGTTTTCAAGTCAATTCTGACTAATCGTAATCCCATGTATGCAGAGTAGAACTGCTCCGTAGCGTTTTCAATGACTGTGATCTTTCAGAAGCAGATCACCAACACTGTCTTCCAAGGAGACTCTGGGTGAGTTCAAACCACCAACCTTTTGGTTAGTCAAGCGCTTAACTGTTTGTACCATCCCAGGACCTTAATGTGGCTACTAGAAAATTTAAAATTACACAGGTGGTTGCCTTACGTTTCTATTGGAAACAGTGCTAGTGTGAGATTATGAGCCATTCAGTGGCAACAGGAAGCCCCAGGCACCCATACTTTGAAAGGTTCCTCCAGTGACTCAGACTGGTGGTCGGGGACCCCGCTCTGAGAAATTCTGTTCTAGAAAGATTCCTCTGGCTATGGTGCAGAGGCTGGGTGGGAGTGTGTGGGCCTGGGGGCAGCCAGACCACTGGAGTCACCCAGGTGAGGCCAGAGGCCTGGCTTCAGGCAGTGGCCGCGGGGGGACTCCTGTTGGGCCAGACAGCTCTCCTCTGAGCATTTCCTTTCGGGGATGGCTCTCTCTGAGGACGCCTCTGCTCTGCTCCTGGCCAGCCGACCAGGAAGGCCCCTTGGCTTGGCAGCTGGACATACAAGTGCTAGGCAGAGCTCTAGGAGAGTGAGTGTCACTTTGTGGGGCCACCAGCTTTTCTGGAAGCCACCTTCTGGAGATTAACCCCACGTCCACTGTGGAAATGGCAGAAATCCCCCCTGGCACAGAAAATAGCCCAACTTGGCCCTTGTTGGTGTTCCTTCCAGGACGAGGGCCAGGAGTGAATGGGAGAGTTACAGAGCAGGAGGGAGGCACTTTCTTTGTAACTTGCCTCTCCTGCCCTGATCAACCTGGGTTGTGTATGTGCTGGTACTGTTTTGCTCCTGTTTCTGCTAAAGGCTCTTTGGGGGCTGTACATGCTTTTTTGGGGGGAATGGGAAGGAGAAGACAGAGTCACAAGACCTCTTTTCAGGAAAGTGAATTGTGCCTGGAGCAGAAACTGTCCCCTGTTCTCCAAAGCTGACACCTTCCTGGCCGGATGGGGCAGACCCCGCCTAGGGCAGCGGCCTGAGCCTACCTTGACTATGTCCTCGTTAATGTTCTTGGGGTCTCGGTTCACCAGGTCGATCTCTTTGAAGTGAATGTCCTTGACGATCTGGGCTTCGAGGTCGAGGTCTGTGCGCTCTTCAGCCATCATCCCGGAGCTGGGTGGATCCCCCGGAGGAGATCCGCGCGGCGTGGCTGGCGGGGCTGAAAACGCTGGGGCAGAGAGACCAGCTCAGTGTCCCCAGACTTTTGGCCCTGCCGGCTAAATAGGCCCCACCCAGTATGCCGGCTGACAGCTGTCCCACATAACTTCAGCCTGCCTCTTGTTAAAGCCTCCCGTGGCAGGCCTCCAAGCTAAAATTAAGACTGGAGTTCTGCGGGAAGGCTGAACACTTCTCAAAGAAGGCTGCCGCTGGGCACCGAGCCTTGCCAGAGAGAGCCGAGGCCTGGCATTCCTGAAGAGAAGCGGCCGGGCGGGCAGGGCTTTTTTGCGGGAGTGAGGGGGGCGGGGGAGGCTGGAATGTGCTCCACTGCTGTCAGCCTAAGGGCTCCTGGGAGAAGAGGCTGCAGGGAGTGGGGGTGGGGGTGGGGGGGTGAGCTTGGTCCCCAGTTAGCCTCTTGCTGGCTATGTGACCTTGGGCCCACTTCACCTCTCTGGGCCATAATGCGCAATGTCCCCATCTGTAAAATGGGGCATAATAGCAGTCTGGACCCGGCCTACCTCTGTGGAAGGGAGGAAACCAGCTCATGTGTGTGAAAGGGCTTTGGGAACTGAAAAATGCTATCTTGTTGGAGCTGAAAGTGCCTAGCTTGTGTTTGGTGGCCTAGAACATTTCTGAGGTTTCCCCATTTCTGGGGTTTTCCCCTGGAGGAGGCGGTGATGGACTGCGGTGCCGGGCTGAGCTGGGGGATGAGACACGGAAAGGAGACCCCTGATGGGGCTGCTCACCCTTCTCTGCCTTTCTTGATGTGTGAGCCTACCCGGGGGGATGCTGGCGTGGAGAAGACGTGAGGGCTGTGAAACTCTGTCCTTTGCCCTGCCCCTAACGATAGCTTCCTGGATATCCCTGGGCCCAGAAACTCCACATACATCAGTGGGTATACCTGTCTTAGATGCTTGCTCAGTTTTTCTGTTCTCTATTCCAACTCAGCCATCACTCCAGGCCCTAGCAGTGAAAAGGATGAAGATTCTGAACAAGGTGGAGACTTTTCTATCTCTCTCACGTAACACAAAGTCCAGAGGTAGGCAGTTCAGAACTATCATGGTGGCTCCATGGTGTTATCAGGCACCCAGACCCCTATCTTTCTGTTCTGCTCTTCCCAAAGCCACCTCATAGACACAAAATGGCTGCTGCTCCTCCAGCCATCATTTATGAGTCTAGACAAGAAGAAAGAAGAAGGGATGAGGGCAGGAAAAGACATCTGCCAGCTGAGACATCTGCTCCATTAGAATGCTTTCCCGGAAGTCCTACCCAGCAACTGCTGATTATATCTCCTTGGCTACCCCTGTTGGCATAGACGGCTGGGAAATATAGGTTTTTAGCTGAGCACATTGTCAGTCCCCACAGTGTCACTAAGGATTAAGGGGAAGTGGTTAAAAAAACAGCTGCCGTAGTGTTGACTCTGACTAATGGCAACCCCATGGGTGTCAGAGTAGAACTGTGCTCCACAGAGTTTTCAATATCTGATTTTTTGGAAGTAGATAGCCAGGTCTTTCTTCTGAGGTACCTCTGGGTGGACTTTAACATCCAGCCTTTTGGTTAGCAGCTGAGTGCATTAACTGTTTGTAACACACAGATATGTCTAGTGAAACAGTGGGACAGCCACGAGGGATGGAGGAGCCACCTAGAAGAAACTTATTTTAAAGGAGAAGTGATAATATAAAGAGTAATAATAATGATTATGGAAAATTGTATTTTTCCAAAGATGGCTCTTATGATGGGACTGAAACTCCTCCAACCAAAAGATAGGGTCTATCTTCCTTTCCCTTAAATCTGGGCAGGGGTTTGGATTATCTGACTCATAGAGAACAGAGGAACTGAAGCTATGTGACTTTCAAGGCTAGGCCATAAAAACGATACAGATTCCTGGGTATCTCCTTCTTTCAGGATGCCCACCCTTAGAACTCAGCTGCCATACTGTGAGGAAGCCCAAGCTAGCCCAAGTGGAGAGACCATACAGTGAGGAAATGAGGCTCCCAGCTGACAACCAGCAGTAACTCAGACATGTGAGTGAAGGGGTATTGGATGATTCCAGGCCCAGTCTTCAAGTCACCCCTAGCTTTCAGGTCCTCTAGCTGAAGCCCCAGACATTGAGGAACAAAGACAAGCTGTTGTCTCTGTGCCCTGTTTAAATATCTAATCCACAGAGCCCATGAGCACAATCATTTTTTTTTTATGTCATTAAATTTGGGGGCAGTTTGTTTTGTACTCATAGTAACTGGAAAAATGAGGGATAATTGTAACAGCAACTATTGATTGTTGCGGGTTCACTGTGTGCCTGGCACTGTGCTAAGAGACCCTTGGTATGTGTAAATTGACTCATTTATTGTGTTAAAAGGGTAGCTGCCTCTAGCTGGTGATCAGTGTTGAGGACCAAGGGAGAAGGGCAGCTCATACGCATTTGGGATTTTAGAGGAGGGGGAGCACGCTGTGGATTTGAGGTAGGCAGAGAGTGCTTTCTGGAGGCAGTGGCATTTCAGTTGGGCAGAAGGATGGTTGGAATCAGAGAGGAGAGTGGAAAGGACCAGATGCCAAAGGCAGAGAACAAGCTGCCTCTCATTTCATTATGACAATCCTATTTTCAAAGACGTAGTGGGAAGAGCATTTCACCCGGGAATCCTTGGTCTTAAAGTCTTCTTTTGGTCCCATGGCTGACCAGCTGTGTGACCTTGGGTCAGCCTCTTGCGCTCTCTGTGTCTCAGTTCCCTCACCTGTCAAATGTGGATGGTAACACCTGCCTGCACTCCTCATGCAGTGCCTGTGCACCTCACACACAGCGAGAAAACAATGGGGCACAGGAGGTCCCATGGACCCATGGAAAAAATGCTCGAGGAACACGCTGAACGATGAGACTTTCCAGTCAACCCTGGGGCAATGCTTCTGACAGGAGAACGCAGTAAAGGAGGGACAGTAACTTCCCCAAACGAGTCTGTGCCTGGGGTTTCGGGGAGGACTCTGTGTCCTTATTTTATATTTTTTTAAGTTTTATTTTATTTTTTATTGTACTTCAGGTGAAAGCTTACAGAACAAATAGTTTCTCATGAAACAGAAGTACACATGTTGTTTTATGACATTGGTTAACAACCCCACAACAT